AACATAGCTGAAGTGTTATTAAGTTATCACGGGAGTGACAATGATAATATAAATATTAATCATCCAATAACTGTTGAATAACATTGCTAGCCGCTGTATGCGGCTGTGTATGCGTCTGTGCGCAGTGATAAGTTGAAGTACATTTGGGTACGGTTTAGATCCAGCAAAAGCTACAGCGCGACTCGATTACACAAGTATAAATCATCAACGACATGTCGTTTTATCAATATTCGTATTTTATCACCGCCGTCATTACTTACAAATGTTTCCTCAAGAAATGATATGGGACCAAAATTTCATGGAGATCTTGACACTCGTCGCCATCTTGCTAATCGTCGGCGTCGTCATAGTCGTAACTGTCGCCGCTGTTATTTTCTTGAACGCGTTACATTTACAAAATTGTCTTTTTTGTCAAATTTATGATAATTGAGCCCATTAATAGACAGCTGACGTTGTTTGTCAACGCATCCGAAAACGGTACGGGTACGGACCCAGGACATAATTGCTACTAGTAGTTCTGCTAGTAGTAGGTAGTGTCCACTGTTCGCAAAGCTACTCTCTTAGCAGCCCTACAGATTTTAACTATAATTTATTTACATTTCCCATACTCTAATAACGAATACATATATTAATATACACCCATATACACTATTATAAATTATTATATATCATATATTATATGTAAATATTTTATCTATAGTGCGTGGAAATTTTCGCACATGACCCAAAGATGGCGCGAAGCGCGATACATGTGCGACTGAAGGCGCCTGCTGAAACCTGAAATCATAAAATGTTGATTTATATGCTCTGCTGAAACCATAGTCATAGAAATCGCAGCCCAAATTACGTCCGTAACACGTAACAGTGTCTACTGTTAATAAAAAAAAAAGATAAAACACTCAGAGAACAATATAGGGGCCTACACATGAAATATATGTACAATGTATATATATTGTTCTCAGGGGCGTGTACAGGATTTGTACCAGGAGGGGGGGGGAGTCTAACCGTAACCCAAACTTGCGAGCACGCGAATGGGGGGTCTCGAGGGCCCTCCTCCAGAAATTTTTTGAAATTAGACTCCCTTAGATGCGTTTTCTGCGCGAGCAGGGGGGGGGTCCGGACCCCCTGGACCCCCCTCCCCCTGTACACGACCCCGGTTCCCAGGAAACACCGAGCTACATGCCTATATATCAGGAGTAGATATAATAGGGATTATCTACGTCCCTATTATCTACTCCTGATATATATATAATAACCACAGAGATAAATTTAGATTTGTTTGCCTATTGGTTCACTCATTGACTCAAAGTCTATATTTATTTCTACACCATTATGTTATTGCTATCAATACTGAACATATAAAATTGCTCGCTTATCACCTTAATCACTTTGCCTGCGCAGGCTATACTGAAGTTTTTTTCTTGTATCTATTTTTTCTTCATGTTGTATATGCACTGCTTTGTACTGTATCACTCAAAATTACCATTTTAACTGCCCAACACTATTGCACTTTTCAATACGTTTATATCTATACAAATGTGAGTGTGTGCGAAATATGTTATATTTGTAATGTGGATATAATGGTGTACGAACCGAGTGTCGAAATGATGTGCTAAAAGGGTACTACTTGTACAAAATTTGATGAAGTTTTTTTGTGTATTTAGTTTTTCTTCGTGTTGTTCTGCACTGCTTTGTACTGTATTCACTCAGGAAACATCATTTCTACCGGCTAAACATTTACCGTAATCAGTTTACCTGTACAGAATATGCTGAAGTTTTTTCTCGTTTATATTTTTTCTTCATGTATCTGTTTCTCTCTCTCTCTCTCTCTGTGTGTGTGGGTGTGTGTGTGTGTGTTTGTTTGTTTGTTTGTTTGTTTGTTTGTTTGTCTGTCTCGCTGTCTCTCTTTCCCTCCCTATCTCTCTCTCTCTCTCTTTCTTTCTCTCTGTCTATCTCTATATCTTTATCGCTCACCCTCACTCACTCTCGCCCCCTCTATCTGCGCGTGTGACCGCCACTCCCCTCCTGCCCCCCCCCTGGCCGTGATATCCCGCGCTCGTCTCATTCTTTCTTCCCAAGGTCACGTGACGTCTCTTACCTGCTGGCGCTCTTCCTCCAGTAGATGGCGCAGCATGCTCCGTCGCCTGCGGTCGTACTGTAGTTGCATGTACTGTTCCAGATCTTCCTTGTCGCGCCGGTGTACGCGCGACGCCTTCTGTGTCTGTTCCGCCGTCAGCGCCCTCTGCTGGATGTTAGCCTCATACTTCCTGCGATCGGGGGAAAAAGTATGTACGCATATCACGCGCAAAGTTTACTACTAATGGCTACTACCAGGAGTAGATAATAGGGAATTATTCCTTATTATCTACTCCTGCTACTACTATACGGCTCGCTACTCGGAATATCAACTTGTATAATCGTGTTATGATACATATAATCATGTTGCCCGCCGAGCGCGGGAACAGAGATGACAAGAGCAGTGTCGTCAAATGGTTTCAAACGGTATTTAGTCGCTTCATAGTATATATGAGCGCGGGGAGGGGGGGGGGGTCATCCCATGGTTTACAAGGCCTGTAGTCGTCCCATAGATCATAAGGGCGGATGTGGGTATATATTTGCTATAGTTTATAGTATAGTATGTACAATGTTATGTTGGACCACAATGGAAATAAGTGTGTTAGCCACGCTTTTTTGTGTTTTCATCCTCGATAATTTTCTAGCTGCATTTTGTTTATTTATGCTGTTATCGATGTAATGTATGCTTTAGTAATTATCGAAATAAATAAATCAAAATCAAAAATCAAACTCGCATCACCCGCTCTAAATCACCCTCGAATTTCACTTACTCACTGTCACTGTACCATAAATATCTATCCCTTACCCCTACTTACAAATATTTGCGTGTCATCATTATAGTAGCGATCTTCGGTAGAATGCACACATTGATTATATTTGTAACCCGGTGGGGTGGGGGGGGGGGCACTCACATATAAAGATATACGGGATGTGGCGCTGGAAAAAAAAAATCCTTAGTCATGGAACCCATTTTTCATGAATGGTTTCAACACTAAAATAACAACATTCAACATTACACTACAATTATAATGACATTACAATGACATTATATATAAGTCTGGATGCTTGAGTCTATACTGTCGGTAGAGTGCTCGATGCATTAAGTTGCAGAGCGTAATAAATTGTAGTCTGTAGATAAATTAACGACAAGACATCACTTTTAGCTGTTACTCCGAGTTTCACATATATATTTATGTGTACATGCGTGCGTGCGTGTGTGTGCAGGGCCGTAGCCTGCTGGGTGAGGGGGGGGGGGGCGCAGCTGCCCCCTAGATTTTGAAGCAAAAAAAAAATGTTCTACTAAAAGAGAATTGTATCATCAGATATAGACTTTTTGACTTTTTGACTTTTTGACTTTTTTTTCAAAAGTCTGTCTGATGATCGCGTAAGCGTGAAACTCGGAGTAACAGCTAAAAGTGATGTCTTGTTTTTAATTTATCTACAGACTACAATTTATATATATATATAATTGTTATTATTTAGCGTTGTTTTGAAATTTTGATACTGATTTTCAGGTATTAGAATATTGTCCACACTGTAATTATACTTTTTTTAAATAAATAGGAAAACGCAATTAGAAAGTAGGAATATATCTAATAAATTGTTATCAGCTAGTAGACAATTTATAATTAGGAGAGCGCCATAGCCTGCACTTGTAGGGTGCAAATCTCTTACTTCGTCTCCTTTCCCGCCCCCTTGACCCTCGCTCAGCCTCCTTTCTCTTCTATGCCCCTCAACTATCTACCCTGCAGCCTTTCTCAGTCTCCCAGCCCTCTCTCCACCAGCAAGCTATATTATGCAGTTTTCTATATTATAGTATTAGTATACAGATACATGTGAATCATTTGAATTATTTTTTAGTATATTATTAGACAAATATTATTGAAGTTATAGCCAAAACACGATTGGCATAATGCAATACTTGGCTGCTCAACCGCCAGGGGCACTAGTACTGTACCTACTAACTGGCGCTGTTCAGTGGGTATATTTATTAGAAAATTGTTAGTATCTTATAATATAGCACACGTTTGCAAAGTTTCCCGATTCTACGCAAAAGTGCACAATTTATGTGATTATCCGCTTTACTAAATACAAAGATACAGGAATAAACAATAATACAAAATCATCTCTTCATTTTAAAATGCGATACTTTATTTTACAATGTTATTATATTTAAGCACGTATCATTTAATTTCTGAGAGACATCCAATAGATCGCCCGATGTCTGTACTCTAACTAACCCCTATGACACTTCTATGACACTTTCCGATTACCAACGCCTTCGTTTACCGCGTTACATACTTCATCTTGTCCTGTCGTGAAAAATTCTTATCTGAAATGACTTATTTATTTACACGATAAACGTGATCGTCTGCAGAGTTGGAATCATTTTTTCTGTCTAAAATTTTCTGCAGCTGATTTACATTGCATCAGTAGATGCTCAACGTATATATATATATATATATATATATATATTTATTTATTTATTTATTTATGTGTGCGTGCGTGTGTGTGCAGGGCCGTAGCCTGCGGGGGGGGGGGGTCATTTGCAACCCCTATTTGCCCCCTAGATTTTGGAGCAAAAAAAAATGTTTTACTAAAAGAGAATTGTCGTAGTCAGAATAAAGGCTGTAAATGTACTCAAAAGTGTCTCAAATACCATCTCCTGCGATCTACATTTTCAAAATTATCTGGCGGAGAACCCCCAGACCCCCTCCTATTTCTCACCCCCTTCTTGAAATCCTGGATCCGTCACTGCCCCCTTAGGCATTTGCTCAGCGTACGGCCCTGGTGTGTGCGTGCACGCGTGTGTGTCTGCGTGTGTGCGTGCACGCGTGTGTGTCTGTCGAGAGTAATTAACAGGGGATATAATTAGTTGTAATTATATCAGGAGTCTATCAAATTTTGATAGACTCCTGATTATATGAGTTAATAGCGACTGTAGTTCTATACTATACTATATAGTTATTGCGCGTGGAATGTTGGGGGCTTTCACGTGCGTGCACATATGCGCATGCATGATTGTAACGCAGGATTGATTGTATTTTATGAATGACAACCGTTCGTCCGTGTTTCTCGTATCAGTCGACCCTCCTCGCCCGCCCCACCCTCAGCGCTGACGCACGTTTATCAGGTATTTACAGCAGTGTGTTAGCAGCTGCTTCTGCTGCTTCCCCCTGTCGTCTGCGCCGACATCGGCGGCGGCGGCCGCCACCTCGCGCGTGTAGATGTCCAGTCCGTACTGACCGTCGCTCGGAAAGCGGATGTCGAATGTGACGGTTTCGTCGGTTAGCACCTTCTTCACGTAGCGGGATAGCACCTTCTCGTCGGCGCCGTTCTGACGCAAGGCTGTCTGGAAGTTGCGTAGTGGACGTCTCATTACTGCAAGGAGAAAGCATGAGTAAATGTACGAACGAACGGACCACAGGCACTTGAAGCGTTTCAATAAAATATAATGCCAAAACTAAATACGAAATCTATTTACTACCAATTCTAGTACCAAATTCTTAATGTTTCTATACTCTCTTTCACCTATTAATTGCCGACAGTTGTCCTGTCAATTCCGTCCAAATCCTACGTGCAACCATGGCAACTGTACGCGGGCTATAGTACTGGAGCTACCATATACGCTGCCGACGACATTGCTTTCGAGGCTCCACTGTTGCACGCTTACACTAATATATATAGTAGTAATATATATATATAGTACTATTATATATATTAGTGTAAGCGTGCAACAGTGGAGCCGCGAGAGCAATGTCGCCGGCAGCGTATATGGTTGCACGTAGGATTTGGACAAAATTGACAGGAAACTGTTGGCAATAATAGGTGAAAGAGAGTATAGAAACATTAAGAATTTGGTAGTAAATAGATTTCGTATTTAGTTAGCATTATATTTTATTGAAACGCTTCAAGTGCCTGTGGAACGGACGAATAAATATATGAATGGAATGAATGGATAGATGGATGAATGAATGAATACCAGATTGAATGAATAAACGAACAACGAAATAAATAAATGGATAATGAGTTAATTCAATAATAAATTAACATATTTAATAATAATTACATAGCTAAGTAAACAAACAAACATTCGCACACGTGTTGATGACGACGTTGTCGTGCGAGCGCGGGATGAGACCGAACAAACAAACAAACAAACAAACAAACAAACAAACAAACAAACAGACAAACAGACAAACAGACAAACAAACAAACAAACAGACAAACAGACAAACAGACAAACAAACACACAATCGCACACACACGCGTTACCGAACGACAGCCGCACGTCGCCGCCGGTGTTGATGACGGCGTTTTCGTGCGAGCGCGGGATGAGACCAAACAGCTTGTAAGCCTTCAGCGGACCCCACTCGCCCGTCGCGCAGTCCGGCAGAGGCACCATGCTGCGCTCTAGGTGCGTGCAGGCGATGCCCAGCTTACAGACGGACTTGAAGCGCATCGGCTTGCCCGTCAGGTAATTATGTCCGGCGGTGATCAGGTTGGCAAATACGTCGAGGATGTAGCGGCCCTTCAGCGCCGTGTGCACCTACACACACGTAAACAGTGAGAAGTACCAGAAAACGAAAAATGTAAATATATACGCATATGTACACTCAAAAAAATAAAGTGTCAGAATTGAATCGTAAAGTGTCAATTGTCTACACTATAAAGAGTTCAGTTAGGGACAGCACCTTAAGTGTAAATTTCAAGTGTTAGAATATTTTACACCAATGAAGTGTTAGTAATATTAACACCTCGTTGGTAAATTATAACTCGTTTTGGACTAAAACGAGTAAGTAATGTAGTGTTAAATGCACACCCACACACACAAGTACAAACAGTCACCCTATCCCGATCACTATACCGAACCTAACCCTACCTAACCTAACCCTAACACTAACTATAACCCGACTCGATTATCTTATATACCCATTGTCATAGTACCCAATTAATCTATGGTGTATAACTTTTTGCTTTCAATATTTTGCATCTGAACTGACAATCAATCCCAACCAACTGGTGTAGGCTAGCTGGCACAGTAATGTTCAATTTCATACTTCAAATCCGAGTGTTTTTTAGCTCATCAAGAAATCTTAATCGTGAATTAAATCGTAAAAGCGAGAGGAGGGAATGGAGATTGGGGAGCTCAGCTTGACACATATAGTGTAAAGTTTGACACTAAAGAAAGTGTCACTGTTTTAACACTTTATGATTACATACCTGACACCTGTATTACTTGGAGTGACGCTGCAAGTGTTATATATAATGTAACACTCGATAAGTGTAATTAATTTTACACTTGAGTTTTTTGAGTGTATATATATATATATATATATATA